ACTCTTAGCGCAAGGCCTGATTTTGTAGAAATAATACATGAGAAGAAAGTAGGTTTACGTTGTACTTTGAGAATATCCTGACCTTGTGTCTGATATTAAAATCAAACACAAACGAAATCGTTCATCAAATAAAACAACTTTTTGGGGGAGTGAGAAGGTCCAACCTCCAGTGCTGAAAAGGTAATGAAAATACAGCCATTAAGATCAGCAGGTTATAAAGATTGAAAAATTAGTCAATTTCATCTGTAAATAGAGTGGAAATAAGGTAAAAGAATCACCTTTGATGAAGGGGCACATAGCCACCATTTTGGTCTGAAAGTAAAGGAACAAGAATATGTCAGGCATGTGTCAAAGTTAACAGTACCTAGGAAATATGTTGAAAGATACAACCATAGATATAAGCATGCAGCTCAAAAATTAAGTGTACTCTTAAATGCGTAATTCTTATAATGTAAACATATCGAATATAATCAGAAATTTGTTAGCATTTTGTGTATGTTACATACATGTTTTTCAATGGCTAAGAATGAAATCATCATCAATAGTGCCAATGTGGTAGTGACATAACTATAAATCTATCAGTATCACAGAACACTGGAAAAGTGACTAAAAAGGAATGTAAATTCCCTTCGTTTATGATATAATGAGAGCAAACCTTTCAAACTAGGTCAACAATGATTTTCTAGCTTAGACAGACCTTGGTACAACATATGCAAATTTCAATTCAGATTATTTCATTAGATGATGAAGATGCAACAAATTCAAAATCCCATTGAACATCCGGTGACTAATGCTTTTGAGATGTTTTGCTCAAAAGCAAAATCTCTGGAAGCAAACTAATAATCTGTTTGGTTACAAGTTATGAACATGATTTTTCACTTCAAGACAGAAGCCATCAGTTGTAGCTTTTGCATCATTTACCCATTTAACATGATTTGCTCTCTGGTGAACATATTTCCAAACACAGGATAAGCAATTCGGAGGCTCAACTTTAAGATCAAAAGGCCAAGAAGAGTTCTAGAATAGCTATAGAGGAAGTTCTACCAAAAAAATCATTTTTTTTTTTACATAAAAAGGATAAATAAAGAGTACCCTTCAATCCATATGAAAAATGAAACACGTCCAAAAACTCATGAACTTAAATCAGAAGGAGAAAGCATGGTAGCAAAGCAAGAATGTACCTTTCCCTGGAATATAAACCAAACCACTCCCTTGGCTAAAATTTACACCCGGGTTGTACTTAAGCAGCAAGTCACTCTCTATCCCAGTCTCGTTGGCAATTGACTGCAAAGAATCCTCAGGTCTAAGAGGGTATGTGATGAACAAACCATAATCCTTGGAAATGTCACTATTCCCACAGGAACAGTTAACGAAGACATCAAGAGTCCCAGTATCAGGAAGATCAGTTGGTGAATATGAGTTGAAGCTCTGCAACAACTGAACAGTGGTCAAATCGGAATAATTCTGAGTGGCAATGGACATGTAAGTGTCACCTGATGCAACGTCATATTTGAATATATGACCTAGAAAATCTCCAATGCAATCGCAAGGGAATGGAACGTTCACCCTGGTAAAGGCTTGCACCTGGTCTTTGTTTTTTATGGTTTCATTGTTGTAGGGGAGAATATCTTCAGGTTTTGAAACAAACTCAGATTTCATAAGCTTTGATACATATGTCAAATCACCTCCTGTTAGATTGTAGGAAGCTAGAGCTAAATCACAATCCCTCTTACACTCGGATTCTGCACTATGCACCATAGAAGCCCATAACATGAAGAAAACTGATAGTCTGAATCTGTTCTCCATTGGGTGGTAGAGTTTACAAACTTTTGTGAAGCCTATCCAACACAGAATCAAGAATCTGGGCGTGTTGAACAGTCCAAATTGGTGTTGGAATAATCTGAAACGCTGTTTGAAACGTTGTACTCTTTTACTAAAGTCTTCAGTAGTCTTTTGCCTAACTTTTTGAATACGTTGGATTTAAGGATGTTTGATGTGTTTGAAGGTATACGTAACGAGTATTGTACAAATTGAATACGTTTTGATATTTATTATAATTGTTTAATAATCTACTTTTAACTTTAGACAAATTTCATATTTCAGAGTCGTGTTCGTATTAATGACTAGGATAATCAAAATACTCCATTTATTCTATTATTTATACTTTCACAAGTACGTTCATCTCGTCCATTCATGATTTCAAATTCATGCAATTAATTTTGTGATTCATATATTGTCTTTCAAACACAGTAGATACGCTCATCAATATCAAAACTAATCTAGTTAATTTTGTTCGCACGTAAATTTTTCTTAAACTTGTTTTTCTAGATGTTTTCAAAAATATATTTTTTTTAAAATTGTTTTACAAAAAAGTACTTTTTTAAAATTCGTTTAAAAATATATTATTTTTGTGGGCTATAAAAGAGCATTCATATATAAAAATACTAAATAAATCAATGGGATTCGAATTTTATTAAATATAGATGGATGAATTGAATTTTTTTATCAAACAAATTTTTTTTAAAAAAAATAGTATAATGTATTATAATTCGAAATAAAATTGATTTATCTCGTTCAAATTTTCTAACAAGGTGTGTTGTAGTTGGCATTGCCCACACGACAAGCTCACTATGACTATTGACTTCAACCCTTCACACTAACTCTTCATTAATTCTGCTTCTTTTTCTCATCTACACTACACTACTACCCGTAAATATCTTGGGCCAAAAAGATGATCAAATTAATTTATGTTCCAAGTTATATAATAATTTTAAATATAAACTAATTCATTTTAATAACCTTAATCCACACTCATACTAACCTCAACCCTAATCAATCAACGAAGTTTTGCATGGCTTTCTTAAATATATTTTTCTGGTTGAATTTCTGAAAATGTTTTACTGAGAAAAAAAATTACTTCGTAATATACTTAAAAAAAATTCAGTTGTGTTTGGATCGGAATTTAATATTTGGAAATTTTAAAATCTTTCGAAAAAAAATAACTTATTTGAAAGAAGATATTAAAAGAAAATTGAATTTGAAAAATCTTCAAAAAAATCTTAAATTATTAAAATAATAGAATTTGAAACTCACTAAGAGAGGAAATTGAAATTTCACAAGTTGTGAAATTTCTCATTTATCAAGATAAAAAAAAGTTTACAAGTCCAAAAAGCTAACCCATATCAACTTTTAGTTTTTATTGAGTTTGACATCTAACTCAAATTAACTCAGTCCTATTATGAGTCCAAACTAACTTGACTTGGTCTTCAGCCAAAGTCGACTTGTCTTTCTCGATGGCCTAAATCGACTTATCTCAACCTTTTATCTGATCGACTGGGCTAAAATCTTCGATTCGGATGAGTTATGTTGGATCTTCATCCCAAGTGACTTGGCTATTTGACCGACTACGGTTGATTCATCTTGACTTCTAATACATATTGACTTGTCTCAACCTCTGGCCTGAACCAAGTGATCTTGACCTTCAATCATACTAAAAATGATTATACTAAAAATCATACAAGTAATTTCAACCTTTCATCCTAGTCAATTTGGCTTAATCCTTTGATTCAAATCGGCTTAACTCAACCTTTAGCACTAAAAAGTTGATTCAGTTCGATGAAGTATGAAAAGAGTGAATCAAATGTGAGGATTTAGACAATCCGACTTGAGTTGAACATGAAGTCTAGTTGATTTAGATCAAATATCAAGTCCAATTAGCTCGATCCAAAAGTCAAGTCAAATATTTTTGAAATGATTTTTTTTTTCTTAAAAGATAAATTGATTTATTTTATCAAACAAGAAAATTAAAATTTAAGATATTTTAATTATTCTATCCAAATAAATTATCAAAAAAATGAAAAAAAATTGAATTGTAAGTAATTTAAATACTATGTATTTAATTTTTTAAAATTATTAAAATTGCTTATCCAAATAAAAAGATAAATACAAATAGTTAAAAAAAGTGATATTTTTATTTTATAATAAGGTAGCTTCTCACTCTCTTAAACTTTATATTAATCGAAACTTTATTATTCTTTAAGGTTTCACTTAAGACGGTTTCTTCATACACCCTATCAAAATCTTTCCTGCACTTCATCATTCCGGATTTTAATGTCCGAAACGCACTAAATTAATTCTGGAAATATTTTTTCGAAAATACTCACCTACTTTTCCTGAACACACTCGCCCACTCATATTTCGGATAAAATTTTCTGAAAACTTTCTAAGCCCCGTGTTTCTGTAACCATCCAAGGCTTTTTCTTCTACATCCTCACAATTTCTATTTCTATCTCCTTACTTTTCAAAAGATAATTTTATCTTTCGTAAAGATGACTTTCTCATTACCTGTTCTGAAAAATTTTCAAAAACAAGTTTTTTTTTAAAAAATTAAATACATAAAATATATTCTATAACAAAAATTTCAAAACAAAATTTCTGAAGCAAATGTTTCAGGACACATGATATTTTTTGGAGTAAACTTGGTAGAATATAATGTAGTACAGACTATAACAAAAATCTATAAATAAAGATTAAATATATGAATATTAAGATTTATACGATGTATTTATTACAGTATTAATTTGTTAAACCAATTGAATATAAATTAAATACTATAATATCTTTAATAGATACATATTGATTTGAACATCTAAAGAATTAGAAAGGAAATTAAAAAATAAATAAATAAACATTCAACCCATGCATCCCAAACAATAAAAGATGTGAATTTTTATAACAAAGTTCTTTGAACATATATGATATCTTTTAGAACGAAGTTTTATAACAAGCATCCCTTTTTCTTCCTTTCACAGAGTGCAGTGACAATGGAGAACGGATGTAAGTAGTGTGGTGCAAAAAGAGGAGGGTATTTTTGTCTTTTTACATTAATAAGAGATGCAGGTAATAATCAATAGGGTGGGGGAAGAAAAAGGCCCATTGGAAAGCTAGGAGTTGTCATTNTACCCTATCATCAACTATATTTTCATTTTCTATGTGTGCTGCTCCTCTATTCCATGATAAAAAGCAGAGGAAAAATCAGAACACCAAACTAGTTTTACACAGCCAACAAAAACTATACCGACACCAGCTAATATTCTGAAATTGTGAGATCCCCTGTTAGATTTAAATGAAAGAGAAGGAAGAAATAGAGGAAATAAAAGTAGAAGAAAATATACCATTCATAACTCTGGCCGAGTTCATCATGAATTCATCTGTGAGCAAATTCCTCTTCCATACCTTCTTTCTTCGGTAATATGTAACATACCCACAGAATGCCAATAGCAGAAGTGCCGTTACTACTCCAGCAGATATTCCAGCGATAACTCTTAGCGCAAGGCCTGATTTTGTAGAAATAATACATGAGAAGAAAGTAGGTTTACGTTGTACTTTGAGAATATCCTGACCTTGTGTCTGATATTAAAATCAAACACAAACGAAATCGTTCATCAAATAAAACAACTTTTTGGGGGAGTGAGAAGGTCCAACCTCCAGTGCTGAAAAGGTAATGAAAATACAGCCATTAAGATCAGCAGGTTATAAAGATTGAAAAATTAGTCAATTTCATCTGTAAATAGAGTGGAAATAAGGTAAAAGAATCACCTTTGATGAAGGGGCACATAGCCACCATTTTGGTCTGAAAGTAAAGGAACAAGAATATGTCAGGCATGTGTCAAAGTTAACAGTACCTAGGAAATATGTTGAAAGATACAACCATAGATATAAGCATGCAGCTCAAAAATTAAGTGTACTCTTAAATGCGTAATTCTTATAATGTAAACATATCGAATATAATCAGAAATTTGTTAGCATTTTGTGTATGTTACATACATGTTTTTCAATGGCTAAGAATGAAATCATCATCAATAGTGCCAATGTGGTAGTGACATAACTATAAATCTATCAGTATCACAGAACACTGGAAAAGTGACTAAAAAGGAATGTAAATTCCCTTCGTTTATGATATAATGAGAGCAAACCTTTCAAACTAGGTCAACAATGATTTTCTAGCTTAGACAGACCTTGGTACAACATATGCAAATTTCAATTCAGATTATTTCATTAGATGATGAAGATGCAACAAATTCAAAATCCCATTGAACATCCGGTGACTAATGCTTTTGAGATGTTTTGCTCAAAAGCAAAATCTCTGGAAGCAAACTAATAATCTGTTTGGTTACAAGTTATGAACATGATTTTTCACTTCAAGACAGAAGCCATCAGTTGTAGCTTTTGCATCATTTACCCATTTAACATGATTTGCTCTCTGGTGAACATATTTCCAAACACAGGATAAGCAATTCGGAGGCTCAACTTTAAGATCAAAAGGCCAAGAAGAGTTCTAGAATAGCTATAGAGGAAGTTCTACCAAAAAAATCATTTTTTTTTTTACATAAAAAGGATAAATAAAGAGTACCCTTCAATCCATATGAAAAATGAAACACGTCCAAAAACTCATGAACTTAAATCAGAAGGAGAAAGCATGGTAGCAAAGCAAGAATGTACCTTTCCCTGGAATATAAACCAAACCACTCCCTTGGCTAAAATTTACACCCGGGTTGTACTTAAGCAGCAAGTCACTCTCTATCCCAGTCTCGTTGGCAATTGACTGCAAAGAATCCTCAGGTCTAAGAGGGTATGTGATGAACAAACCATAATCCTTGGAAATGTCACTATTCCCACAGGAACAGTTAACGAAGACATCAAGAGTCCCAGTATCAGGAAGATCAGTTGGTGAATATGAGTTGAAGCTCTGCAACAACTGAACAGTGGTCAAATCGGAATAATTCTGAGTGGCAATGGACATGTAAGTGTCACCTGATGCAACGTCATATTTGAATATATGACCTAGAAAATCTCCAATGCAATCGCAAGGGAATGGAACGTTCACCCTGGTAAAGGCTTGCACCTGGTCTTTGTTTTTTATGGTTTCATTGTTGTAGGGGAGAATATCTTCAGGTTTTGAAACAAACTCAGATTTCATAAGCTTTGATACATATGTCAAATCACCTCCTGTTAGATTGTAGGAAGCTAGAGCTAAATCACAATCCCTCTTACACTCGGATTCTGCACTATGCACCATAGAAGCCCATAACATGAAGAAAACTGATAGTCTGAATCTGTTCTCCATTGGGTGGTAGAGTTTACAAACTTTTGTGAAGCCTATCCAACACAGAATCAAGAATCTGGGCGTGTTGAACAGTCCAAATTGGTGTTGGAATAATCTGAAACGCTGTTTGAAACGTTGTACTCTTTTACTAAAGTCTTCAGTAGTCTTTTGCCTAACTTTTTGAATACGTTGGATTTAAGGATGTTTGATGTGTTTGAAGGTATACGTAACGAGTATTGTACAAATTGAATACGTTTTGATATTTATTATAATTGTTTAATAATCTACTTTTAACTTTAGACAAATTTCATATTTCAGAGTCGTGTTCGTATTAATGACTAGGATAATCAAAATACTCCATTTATTCTATTATTTATACTTTCACAAGTACGATCATCTCATCCATTCATGATTTCAAATTCATGCAATTAATTTTGTGATTCATATATTGTCTTTCAAACACAGTAGATACGCTCATCAATATCAAAACTAATCTAGTTAATTTTGTTCGCACGTAAATTTTTCTTAAACTTGTTTTTCTAGATGTTTTCAAAAATATATATTTTTTAAAATTGTTTTACAAAAAAGTACTTTTTTAAAATTCGTTTAAAAATATATTATTTTTGTGGGCTATAAAAGAGCATTCATATATAAAAATACTAAATAAATCAATGGGATTCGAATTTTATTAAATATAGATGGATGAATTGAATTTTTTTATCAAACAAATTTTTTTTAAAAAAAATAGTATAATGTATTATAATTCGAAATAAAATTGATTTATCTCGTTCAAATTTTCTAACAAGGTGTGTTGTAGTTGGCATTGCCCACACGACAAGCTCACTATGACTATTGACTTCAACCCTTCACACTAACTCTTCATTAATTCTGCTTCTTTTTCTCATCTACACTACACTACTACCCGTAAATATCTTGGGCCAAAAAGATGATCAAATTAATTTATGTTCCAAGTTATATAATAATTTTAAATATAAACTAATTCATTTTAATAACCTTAATCCACACTCATACTAACCTCAACCCTAATCAATCAACGAAGTTTTGCATGGCTTTCTTAAATATATTTTTCTGGTTGAATTTCTGAAAATATTTTTTACTGAGAAAAAAAAATTACTTCATAATATACTTAAAAAAAATCAGTTGTGTTTGGATCGGGAATTTAATATTTGGAAATTTTAAAATCTTTCGAAGAAAAAATAACTTATTTGAAAGAAGATATTAAAAGAAAATTGAATTTGAAAAATCTTCAAAAAAATCTTAAATTATTAAAATAATAGAATTTGAAACTCACTAAGAGAGGAAATTGAAATTTCACAAGTTGTGAAATTTCTCATTTATCAAGATAAAAAAAAGTTTACAAGTCCAAAAAGCTAACCCATATCAACTTTTAGTTTTTATTGAGTTTGACATCTAACTCAAATTAACTCAGTCCTATTATGAGTCCAAACTAACTTGACTTGGTCTTCAGCCAAAGTCGACTTGTCTTTCTCGATGGCCTAAATCGACTTATCTCAACCTTTTATCTGATCGACTGGGCTAAAATCTTCGATTCGGATGAGTTATGTTGGATCTTCATCCCAAGTGACTTGGCTATTTGACCGACTACGGTTGATTCATCTTGACTTCTAATACATATTGACTTGTCTCAACCTCTGGCCTGAACCAAGTGATCTTGACCTTCAATCATACTAAAAATGATTATACTAAAAATCATACAAGTAATTTCAACCTTTCATCCTAGTCAATTTGGCTTAATCCTTTGATTCAAATCGGCTTAACTCAACCTTTAGCACTAAAAAGTTGATTCAGTTCGATGAAGTATGAAAAGAGTGAATCAAATGTGAGGATTTAGACAATCCGACTTGAGTTGAACATGAAGTCTAGTTGATTTAGATCAAATATCAAGTCCAATTAGCTCGATCCAAAAGTCAAGTCAAATATTTTTGAAATGATTTTTTTTTTCTTAAAAGATAAATTGATTTATTTTATCAAACAAGAAAATTAAAATTTAAGATATTTTAATTATTCTATCCAAATAAATTATCAAAAAAATGAAAAAAAATTGAATTGTAAGTAATTTAAATACTATGTATTTAATTTTTTAAAATTATTAAAATTGCTTATCCAAATAAAAAGATAAATACAAATAGTTAAAAAAAGTGATATTTTTATTTTATAATAAGGTAGCTTCTCACTCTCTTAAACTTTATATTAATCGAAACTTTATTATTCTTTAAGGTTTCACTTAAGACGGTTTCTTCATACACCCTATCAAAATCTTTCCTGCACTTCATCATTCCGGATTTTAATGTCCGAAACGCACTAAATTAATTCTGGAAATATTTTTTCGAAAATACTCACCTACTTTTCCTGAAAACACTCGCCCACTCATATTTCGGATAAAATTTTCTGAAAACTTTCTAAGCCCCGTGTTTCTGTAACCATCCAAGGCTTTTTCTTCTACATCCTCACAATTTCTATTTCTATCTCCTTACTTTTCAAAAGATAATTTTATCTTTCGTAAAGATGACTTTCTCATTACCTGTTCTGAAAAATTTTCAAAAACAAGTTTTTTTTTAAAAAATTAAATACATAAAATATATTCTATAACAAAAATTTCAAAACAAAATTTCTGAAGCAAATGTTTCAGGACACATGATATTTTTTGGAGTAAACTTGGTAGAATATAATGTAGTACAGACTATAACAAAAATCTATAAATAAAGATTAAATATATGAATATTAAGATTTATACGATGTATTTATTACAGTATTAATTTGTTAAACCAATTGAATATAAATTAAATACTATAATATCTTTAATAGATACATATTGATTTGAACATCTAAAGAATTAGAAAGGAAATTAAAAAATAAATAAATAAACATTCAACCCATGCATCCCAAACAATAAAAGATGTGAATTTTTATAACAAAGTTCTTTGAACATATATGATATCTTTTAGAACGAAGTTTTATAACAAGCATCCCTTTTTCTTCCTTTCACAGAGTGCAGTGACAATGGAGAACGGATGTAAGTGGTGTGGTGCAAAAAGAGGAGGGTATTTTTGTCTTTTTTCATTAATAAGAGATGCAGGTAATAATCAATAGGGTGGGGAATGAAAAAGGCCCATCGAAAGCTAGGAGTTGTCATTCCAAACTCGAAAGTCCAGAAGCTACGTAACTTTTGCAAACTGCAGGCAAAGAAGGGTATGACGGAGAATTGACAGTTTGTTAATAGCTTATATTTGTTTACTTAAAATATAAATAGATAAATGAAAAGTGTAAGTTTGATAGATAGACTGATATAATTTATTCTTAACTAATTTAATCTGATCAAACATCACTTTTTTAAAAATACTTTTTCATTAAATGAAAAATGAAGTATTATGAATAAATTTTAACTTAATTAGTATGGTAATGACCATGATTAAGATTTATTAATTTATAGCGTAACCAAAAACCAGCATATCTTTAATACATAAATAGCAGTTGAATATGAATCCAGTGGGTTGACTTATCTGTAATATAGCATCATAAAGATTAAAGAGAAGTACTGAATGTAAACTTTGTTCAACAAACCACTCGAGTAACTTCTGATCAAAAGTAAAAGGATGCTCTTTCAGCTAGTGGACTTCATGCCACTCACCAAATTCTCAATGCTTCTCCTCTACAGTAATACTACTAACATCTTCATAGCATCTTCAATTTTCTTATTTTTACACCACGTAGAATTTAGATTCAATATCATCACTTTAATCATAATTTGTTTCTTTTCTTTTTTCGATTGGCTTGCAAAAATACATAACTTCCTTTTTAAGTATACGGATAAGTTAATGATACTTAACTAATCCTGTATTTGAGAATAAAATGTCCACATTGTGCTCATTAATTATGAAACTAAGGTTAGTTTAGACTTCCAAATCAGAAATGGCCAATAATTGAGCTGAGAGATTGATTAGCAGTTAGTTCTACATAAGCATTATGGCAAATTTTACCAGGTTTTGATGGTAGGTGAAACCCGAGATCAGGAGACATAAGTTTAATTCTAAACCATAATAGTCAACCATACATTTGATGGCTATGATTAATATCTTAATTCAGATTGAAATGTTCTCTTCTGACAGCTATCAAAATAAAACATCGAATCACCATGAAACCACTCATTATAGTTCCTAATGATGCTCATAAATGGCCCTTACACGAAAATAGAAGTTACATATATGATGAAGAGAAAATCTCCATGAACTGGAAAATTGGAAACAAGGTAAAATACGGTATGAAATAGCTCCTTCTGTGGGGTCATTCCAGTTGGAAACTCTCATCTCCTATTTATTTATTTTCCGTGCTACGTAGCCTCTTAGATAGTTATTACACTGTGGATTATAGAATGGTAAAAAACGATATCAAAGTGCAGTTTTCCTTGCCCCTTAAAAGGGTTAAAAAATGCATATGCCCACATTAACACATATTGAAAGTTTATCTGCATTTGTGTGCGGACCACAGAATTTCAGTGCCAATTTTCTTACATGGTTGGATGAGAAAACGATGGCTTTCAGTCGTACAATCTCAAAAAGTGCTTCTCTTAACCTCTTCTTTTTCTTTCTTTTTGAACAAAATATATGACTTTTCTTGTAAAAATTCAAAATGTGATATAGATCAGTAAACGTAATAAAGAAGAGTAACCATTTTGTTGGTTGGTTAAATAAATTAAGTAACTTTCCGCCAAGATTTTTGATTTGTTAAAAACGAACGTCCCTTTCTCTAATCTACTAATTTTCTGTGTATGATCACTTTCCCTTTTAGAAATTTTGACCATTAACTTGTCTCCAACATTTAATCTTGAATTAACGCCCAACCATATTGATACCCCTTTTGAGGAATGTTTGCAGCTTTGAGTGTGAAACAGCTCGGTCACAGAACAAAAAGTGCTTCTTCTTCTCCTTCTTCTTCGTCTCATAATAAATGGTTTCATCTTTTGCCATACCAAAAGCAAAAAAAGCTACGTGGAAACGAGTTTTCACAAAGACACTTCACGATGAAGCCTTGGGGCTTTTACCAATTCTCACCCGTGCAAGAAGATACATCATCCACAATATTTAATAACATTGACAATCGATGCTCTTCTCTTTATTGACATGCTTTTTTAAAAATCATACTTTTTTTGGTCTAG